CTGCAAACCGGTGTGCCATGTGAGTTTCAATACCAAACTTTGGCATTTTATTCAAATCACGGTTTCTTATAAATGGGGATTCACAGACAGTTTCGTGTCATTAAATCGTTTGCAAAAGATGATGATGTATTAGCCAGTAGGAAAGACAGTTTGGTCTTACAACTAATTATTTATTTTATATAGAAAATGTTAATATCAAGATTTGAACCTGAGTCTCTTCAAACAAAGAGAACAATCACAACAAATTATACTAAACAAATTTGTTGTATCTTTTTTAATACAAAACATACACGAAGTTGAACTCTGAGAATATGAGGACTTTTTCATCATGATTAGCAAGCCCACTAAGTTTACCGTGTGTAGTTTTCAATTTAAATATAAATTTTGTGCTTTTTTATCTTTGTTCTTATATCTTTCTAACTTCCTCCGAAATTTCCTACATCGTGGAATAGTTTGCGCCCCTTTCACTTTCCAGTACAAGGTCATCTTCGAAAATCAATCTTCTGGTTTGTCTTGGCACTAAGAATATATTGCTGAGAATTTGAGCTGGGCAAGTAGAAGATGCCAACTTCTATATCAATGCGAATAGAATCGAGTTCAATAAATGAAGTTGCAGAAGGATGATTAGAAATTGAATTTTTTGTTGAAACATATGCCTCTTGAAATTGACGATAGAGTGGATAAAAATTTGGTTGTACGACAAAGAGTGGTGGCTATTAGATCTTTAGGTTTGTGGTTTTTGCAGCCATCACAACCTATCTCTATTTTAAAACAAGGAATCATTGATTGATTGATTTACTGAAGCAGCTCGATTCAACCTACTGGAACTGGTAGATAAGGAATATCTAATTTTGTGCCTTATTACTTTTTGATTACTGACATATTTTTCCTAAAATGAGAGCATTTTTTTAATCTATATATGATTATCTTTTGTCAAATTTTTTTCCTTTTATGTAGGATTGTGAGGTTGATTTCTATGGGTCGTGCATGTGAGCTTTTATGCTCTATCTTTCTCTACAATCAACTAACCAATAGCATTCTAACGGGGCTTTATTATCACTATGAAAATGAGATACCAATGATAGATTTTAACATATGCCTCTTGAAATTGACGATAGAGTGGATAAAAATTTGGTTGTACGACAAAGAGTAGTGGCTATTGGTTATTAGATGCTCGATTCAACCTACCGGAACTGATAGAAGGAGTGTCTAATTTTGTGTCTTATTACTTTTTGATTAGTGACATACTTTTCCTAAAATGAGAGCATTTTTTAATCAATATACGATTATCTTTTGTCAAAAAAAAAAAATTTCCATTATGTAGGATTGTGAGGTTGATTTCTATGGTTCGTGTGAGCTTTTATGCACTATCTTTCTCTACAATCAACTAACCAATAACATTTTAACGGGGCTTTATTATCACTATGAAAATGATACATTTTCATATTTCACAAACCTAATTTTTCGTTTGCTCTCGAGTTTTGATGGTCCTCTCTTAAGTGAGTTGTTAGTATATAGTTGACTTGAATCAACAACTCTCAATTTCTTTTTCATTAGTGACATTTTTCCTAAAATGAGAGCATTTTTTTAATCAATATACGATTATCTTTTGTAAAAAAAATTCCTTTATGTAGGATTGTGAGGTTGATTTCTATGGGTCGTGTGAGCTTTTATGCTCTATCTTTCTCTACAATCAACGAACAAATAGCATTTTAACGGGGCTTTATTATCACTATGAAAATGATATATCAATGATACATTTTCATATTTCACATTCTTAAATGATTGTGTGTTAATCGGTTAGTCATGCACCCGGAGAATATGATGATGTGATAAGTTCTCAGTAAGGACATTGTGTATATATTCGGTTATGTGCCGAAGCCTGGGCTATGGGAGGAAGTCACCGATGCTTTAGGTCGGCGTAGGTGGGGGAGCCTAAGTATCAAGGAGGAGGTGGAAAGAAAGATGATGGTGCATGACTAAACCGGAATGGGTGATGGATGCTTGTATGTGCATATGCTTGTTGTGAATCTTTTTTTTTTATGTGTGTGTATATTGTGATTGACGATGTTTAAATGGTCATGAAGCTGTAGTTAACTTTGTGCTGGTTCAGTATGTGTCTATGTTTGAGTTGTGAATGTTTATAGAGGTACTAGTATACTGAGAACAAGAAATGTATAAGGCTAACCGTGATTTCTCAATACCTTACTTATGTTAATTACGATACTAGGTTAGTTTTTACTCATTGAGGTAACATCTCACCCCGTCAAAAAAATTCCCCATATTAGAAGTTTTGAGCTAGAAGTCAAGGGAACTCAGCAATATATCAATGAGGTGGGGTGGTGGACTCGGACTCCGACATGACTTGTTTTAGTATTTTGAGAGAAGATGATCTTGTCTACTGTCATGTGTTTTACAGTTCTAAAAGTTTATGTAAATTATGGTTTGGTTAGTAAACTAAACGGAATTGTAAAAGATTTTACTCAATATGATCTTGTGAATGTTTTAAAGTATGTATGGGTGTTACAACCATTCTACCCTTTTGCCTCATAGCCTGAAGCTCTCGCATATAATTTTTACCTTATATTTGCATCAGTTTGGCTTCTCACCCAATCTCTCTACCAGACTTACTCAATCTTTCTTATGCTAAACTCCTAAGTTTGAGAATTTTAAACCATATCCAAGAACGTTTATAGTGCACTTCCCATATGCTCTTATTCCTTTGCGAATATTATTTAATGCATGTAGTCCCATGAGTTTGTTGATATGCAATAAATTCCCATGTGTGACTGATCAAGAAGGCTTGTTCCAGCTACACAGATCCTTGAACCCCAACCCCCTTCTATTTTAGGTAGATCAACGGTTTCCTAGGTGACTTTTGCTTTCTTCTTTGCCACTATTTCACTTCATAGAAACCTAGAACATAAAATATATATATCTTTGATAACCTTCTTTGGAATTTGCACAATCATTATTCAATATTGTGTTAAGCTAACAAGAACTGCAATGGTCAACTAGTATTTGCCAGCTAATGTCAACAGCCCAAGCCTCATATCCTGAATTCTCTTAGTGATTCTCTCAACTAACACTTTGCAGTGTACTGATGTCAACTTTCTAGCCACAAGAGGCATGCCCAAGTATCTCACTGGTAGTTATCATTCTTGAAAGCCTGATTTTTCAATGATCTTAGCTTTTAAGATGCTAAGTACACCTGCACATAAAATTGTACTTTTCCCCGGGTTGCACTTCAACCCTAAAATTCTATTGAACTTTTGTAATATCTCTCATCTACAATTGTGAATTCCTCAATTGTCCCTTTGTTGAATAGGAGCAGATCATCTGCAAAGCATAGGTGGGTAAGTCAAATCCAATGACATTGGGGATGACAACGTAGTACTGGATTTGCAGCAGCCCTATTCAAGATGCAACTAAGGGGTTGTTTGCCTCAGTCTCGATAAATTTATTATTTAGATTAGGGAGAGCTTTTTTTATACCCAGTAACCTCAACCCCACGTGCCACTTTGTGGCAGCGGGGTCTACTAAACCTGAGGAGTACCCGCATCAGCAACATTTTCAAGGCCTAGCACCCGATACTGGGGGGAGACTTCCTCTTCAGCACTTGCGGTGCCTCCGGGAACACCAAGTGGTGTAGTGGAGTTCCAACCTGAGACCTCATACATCTCAAGCCAGAAAGACCACACTCCCGACCGGGAACGGATCAGGTCAGTAACCCTATGGTCAGTAACCATGAGTAACATGTCCACATCAGCATGACATCAATATTCTCTCTCTCCTGGAAAGTCTTTTATCTATTCCTTTTTAATCTTTAACGGACGATTTCTCTCTCGTTTTAAGTCGAAATTTAATTTTTGTTGCACAGATAAATAAGATTAAATGTGCTCTTTACAATGATATCCACTTTGATATATTTTTTAGTACAATAAAAAATTGAATAATATTTTACCATTCATTACCATATGGTATGCTCCTATTTAATACCATATGGTAAGAAAGCGTACCATGATGGTATGGACATACCAATATGGTAAGAAGGTTGAATACATGATAGTAGGAGTATACTAACTGTCATTTATGACTTTCATCATTGTTTACTACAAGTTATCACAAGTTACCACCCACATACCATAATGGTAAAGTATGGTAATTTTTTATCCAGTATTTTTTTCACCCAGAAATTCATAGATCCAATAGATAATGACGAACTCGTTCCTTCTGAGCAAACGTTTTTCAAAACGACTTAAAAACGAAGAAGTTACCATATGGTATGTAGTTGGTAAAAAAAGTTTCTCGAAATATATTGAAAATTGATCTCATTTTCTAGAGCACAACGAACTCGTTCCATCTGTGCAAACAAAATTGAAATCCTAGTTAGAACGAAGAAGATAAGAGTCGATTAACAAAACTAGAGAAAATAAAATACATTTAATTGACAACCATTAGATCTGAATTTTCTGGACCCACTTAGATCTAAAGGGTCATATTTAATTACTCATAGGTCAGTAACCAATGGTTACTGACCATATTATAATCTCTCCCGACCAACTCGGGTGTGTTACCTTTGGCGGAAGAGCGCCCTTTTAGTGTCACATTTTTCACACACAAAAAAAAATAATGTCTATTTGTTATCCAAACTGTTTCGAATTCTTTTATTTTAGCCAAATCTATTAAAATACTAAAAATTAGCCAAACGTTTTGTAACACGTCAAAGTATTAGCAATTTTACATTATGGTAAATAATTTTGGAGCTATTTTTTAGTAAAATACTAAATTTTTGGAATGTTAACCTTATGTGTTTTTTACAAGTCAGTATCATATTTCCAAGTCAATATTACTAACAAAATTGCTAACTTGATATTAATATTTGACTAATTATTAGTAATTTAATAGATTTGGATAATAAAAAATAATCTATAAAAAGTTTGGTTAATAAATAATCATTACCCTATTTTTTGACAAAACCTATTCTATGCTTTTCGGATTTAACATCTCCATTTAGATTAGAAATTGTAAATCTTTGGCCTTAGTAAGCCAAAGCGAAACCCTAAGTTTCTTCCGATCCAATGTCCCTGGTTTCCTGATCATCTCTCGCTACTTCCTGGCAAACAAGTGATTGTTCTGCTCAACTCTCTGTTTCTAATCCACTGATTTCTATCGTCATTCTCATAATTCCCTTTCTCCTGCAGTTGCTTTCACCGGTAGAGAAGCAAAGCAGATGAACAAGAAAAGGAAGGCTGGGAAAGAAAGGCGCCGTGACAGGCTGACCCCTCTCCCAGAACATATCATTCATCACATCCTTTCCTTCCTCGACACGAGATCGGCCGTTCAAACCTCGGTTTTATCCCGATCATGGAGATCCGCCTGGAAATATGTCCCTGCCCTACACTTCAATCAGTACTCCTTCCAACACTACTCAAGCTTCCACCTGTATGTGAGAAAGGTTCTGTCCCTTCGCCATCCCCTTAATCTGAGCACGGTGAAGTTTGTAGACGATGAGTGTAGGTCGGATGGCAGAGACGACTCTCTGGTGATTAGGGTTATCCAATATGCCTTGTCCCATGATGCTCAACATCTGGTGATTTACCATGGAAATGACATCACATCAGCTGACATTTACAGATTCTCGGACTTGTTTGGCTCGATCTCGAATTGTGATCTGAAAGTTCTAGTGTTAGACGGTTTCGACCTGGATAGTGGGTTTGGATCTCCTCATGGTTTCCGGATGCTGACAAATTTGATTCTGGAAGCCTGCATGGTGGCTGGTCAGGATCTTGAACCTTTCTCTAACTTTCCTTGTCTCCAGCATTTGGTCCTCAGTGATTTCCATTCCTACGAGTCTTTTTGTCGCGGGGATGAACGTAACTGTAGTATGAAGATATATGGACTCGAATTGCTTAGTCTGAAATTGCATACTGTGTGCTTTTCCAGCATTGACATAGATGTGCCGAAGCTCGAATTCCTCAGCATCTGGGATGATGAAGTGGAAATGGGATACTTGAGTTTCTCCAATTTAAGCCTTCCGTCTCTTCAGCATGCTGATATTAGGCTCCATGGGGACCTGGATTGTATTGAGGAAACCAAAGAGTACATGATGCCACAGTTGATATACCTGTTTCAAGGTTTGCATAATGCAAAATCTTTGAAGCTGTACGAGGATACCACCATTCCAGTAATGCTCTTGTGGCTGTTTCTGTTGGAAATAAAATTTATTTCCTTTGTATTATTTGGTGGGCTCGTTTGGTGGAAAGTGGAAGACTTTTGGTTGTGTTTATTTTTGAGGGAAGAAGACTTTTGCGGCAGAGAATGGAAGCTAAAAACAAAGGAGGGGTTTTTTATTCTTTCTTTTGGTTTCCTCTACTTCTTAGCTCTCTGCTTTTCATTCGTACATAACCAAGCCTATTTATAGGCTTACAATTTCACAAATATCTCTCATAACCGACTTACCTATGTGGCTCTTAATTTTCTTGATTTCTTTATGCCACAACTAACACCTAACACATTTAAATCATTTTCTACATACTTCCATACACTTCTGATTTTTTCATACTAGCTCCACACACGTAGCTAGTTTCCAGAATGGTCTTTTTTATTTATTAATTAAACTTTAATTTCAACACTCCCCCTTAAAGTTTAATTAGTAGTAACTCCGAGTAGCGTCCTCAGTTTGACGAACACATCTTGCTTCAGCGGCTTCGTGAAAATATCAGCAATCTGGTCTTCAGTCTTCACATACTTCAGCGTCACTTCTTTCTGCTCTACGCACTCTCTTAAGAAATGATATCTCGTATCAATGTGCTTACTGCGATCATGAAACACCGGATTCTTCGCTAACGCTAGGGCAGACTTGTTATCAACATAAATCTCAGTTGACTCTTCTTGTGTCATGTTCAACTCCTTCAGCAACTTTCTCAGCCATATCGCATGACACGCACACGATGTCGCAGCAACATACTCAGCTTCACAAGTTGATAATGTCACAATAGCTTGCTTCTTTGAACTCCATGTGAAAGCTGTATCTCCCAGGAAAAATACAAATCCTGTAGTGCTCTTGCGATCATCGACGTCTCCTGCCCAATCACTATCGCAGTATCCAACCAACTTGAATTTTTCTGACTTAGTATAAAATAGACCATGATCAATTGTACCTTTAATGTAGCGCAATATCCTTTTGGCAGCATTCCAGTGTGACATTGTCGGTGCCTCCATGTATCTGCTGACTAATCCAACTGCATAGAGAATATCTGGTCTGGTACAAGTCAGATATCTCAGACTTCCCACGAGACTTCTAAACTCCGTTGAGTTGACCTTCTCTCCTTTATCATCCTTGGATAACTTTAATCCGCACTCTGCTGGTGTGCTCACAGGATTACAGCTCTCCATCTTAAACTTCTTCAGGACCTCCTTTGCGAAGCCACTCTGTGAGATAAAAATTCCTTCCTCCTTTTGAGTTACTTCAATTCCAAGATAGTATGACATTAGTCCGATGTCTGTCATCTCGAACTCACGAACCATCGTCTTCTTGAACTCTTCAAACATCTTAGGATCATTTCCTGTGAAGACGAGATCGTCTACATATAGGCAAACCATCAAGATTGCTCCCCCTTGCACCTTGCAGTATAGTGCATGCTCATGTGGGCATTTACTGAACCCATTCTGCTGAAAGTACTTGTCAATCCTGCTATTCCAAGCTCTTGGTGCTTGTTTTAGACCATATAATGCTTTCTTCAGCTTCAATACCTTGTCTTCTTGGCCTTCAATGACATATCCAGGGGGTTGCTCAATATAAATATCTTCCTCGAGATATCCATTGAGAAAAGCTGACTTCACATCCATCTGATGTATCTTCCATCCATTTTGAGCAGCGAGAGATATCACCATCCTAATACTCTCCATTCTCGCCACGGGAGCAAAAACTTCATTATAGTCAATGCCTGGTCTCTGACTATATCCTTTAGCCACCAATCTTGCTTTGTGCCTGACAACTTCTCCTTTAGCATTTTTCTTGGCCTTGAATACCCACTTCACACCGATTGGCTTCTGGTTCTTAGGAAGTGACACAAGCTCCCAAGTCTTGTTCTTCACAATTGCTCCAATTTCTTCATCCATGGCTTTCTTCCATTTTTCATCCTTCATGGCTTCTTCAACATCAACTGGTTCACTGTCAATGAAATGACAATAGAGTGTCAATTCATCACCTTCAATGGTTGTCGTTTCCTCATAAATTTCTTCAAGTCTTCTATACTTCTGTGGCCTTTCTTTCGGACTTTCACTCGATTCTCCTTCTGAGCTAGCAGGCTCTCTATGACTGGGTGGACTTGTCACAGGTGTAGTTGTATCTGGTTCCTCATCACTTTCATCCATAGTGAATGGATAAAAAGTGTAATTTTTCTTTGCTTCAACAGTCCAGTCCCATGTTGCTTTTTCATCAACCACCACGTCTCTGCTGATGATCAGCTTCTCTTCCACAGGATCAAACATCTTGTAACCTTTTGAGTGTTCTGAGTATCCCAGGAATATGTACTTCTTGCTTTTGTCATCCAACTTCTTCCTTTCTTGATCCGGTACGTGCACATATCCGACACTTCCGAAGACTCGGAGGTGAGAGATTGTGGGTTTCCTTCCGCTCCATGCTTCTTGGGGTGTTTGATTCCAAACACTCTTTGTTGGTGACCTATTTAGCAGGTACACTGCACAATCAACAGCTTCAGCCCATAGCTCTTTCGGCAGGTTCTTGCTCTTCATCATGCTTCTCGCCATGTTGAGGACAGTTCTGTTCTTCCTCTCAACGACTCCATTTTGCTGTGGTGATCTTGGGACTGTGAGAAACCTGCGAATTCCTTGATATTCACAAAACCTTCTGAACTTCTTTAGCATAAATTCTCCACCTCTATCTGATCTCATGGCTTTGATGTAGCGGCCACTTTCATTCTCCACGAGTATCTTGAACTTCTTGAAAGCTTCAAATGTGTCTGACTTCTGCTTCAAGAAGTATACCCATGTCTTTCTACTGTAGTCGTCAATGAACAATAGGAAGTATTTGTTCTTTCCGAACGATGTTGGGGTGATCGGTCCACAGAGATCTGCATGGACGAGCTCAAGTGGTGCTTTAGCTCTTGACAGGGACTCCTTCGGGAAACTTGCCCTGAATTGCTTTCCAACTAAGCATCCTTCACACAACTGGTCTGGATGATTGATCACTGGTAGACCATGCACCATCTTCTTCTGACCGAGTAACTTTAGGCCTCCAAAATTCAGATGGCCATACCTCAGATGCCATAGCCATGTATTATCCTTCACACATGCTTTCAAGCACTTCGCCATTTCTGTCTGAATGTTCAGCGTGAACATTCTGTTTCTCGACATTGGGACTCTGGCCAACAACTGCTTCTTCTCGTTTAACAGCTCCAATTGACGATCCACCATATGGACTTCATAATTCTTCTCCATCAGTTGACCCAAACTCAGGATGTTACTAGTCATGTCTGGGACATAGTACACATCACTGATAGATTGCTGGGAGCCATTCTTGAGCCGGATGAGTATGGTTCCTCTGCCTTTGATAGGAACCTTCGAGGAGTCTCCAAATACGACATTTCCTTTCACCGATTCATCCATATCCACGAACATGCTTCTTTTACCGCACATGTGGTTGCTTGCTGCATTATCCAGATACCACATGTTGTCTTTCGGTTTCTCATCTCCTTGATGTGACAGCATCAATGTGCCTTTGACTTCTTCTTCTTGCACGTTGTTTGCCGTCTCCTCCACTTCTTTAGGCGGAATCCAACATTCCGATGCATAATGCCCGTACTTCGAGCAATTATAGCACTGGATGTTGGATTTATCACGACCTTCATTTGATCTCCAACTTCCTCTTCCACGTCCACGACCACGACCTCTGCCTCTGGTGGACGTTTCATAATTGTTCGTGGTGAAATTTCCTCCGTCTCTGCTTTGATATGCTCCTCTGGCTCTTCCTCTTCCTCTGCCTCTGTAGTTGCCTCTGCCTCGACCTCTGTTGTAACCTCCTCCTCGGGCACCATCTTTCTCCTCAGTGGTAGCTTTTGTGGCTAACACTTGTTCTGACGATTCTTCATTTCTTTTATTTAGCCTTTCCTCTCTGGCTTGCAGTGAGCCGATGACTTCATCCACCGTCATTTTTGACACGTCCTTAGCTTCCTCCATGGCCACTACCACATAATCGAACTTCGGTAATAATGACCGTAGAATTTTCTCCACCACTTTGGTCTCTTCAATTTTCTCCCCATACTGCTTCAGTTTGCTGACGATAGACTTCACACGGGCGGTGTAATCTGAAACAGATTCACCTTCCTTCATTTTTATTGCTTCAAAATCTCCCCTGAGTGTCTGAAGTCGAACCTTCTTCACTGGTTCCACGCCTTGCATTTCCTTTTGCAGAATCTCCCATGCTTCCTTTGCTGTGGTAGCATCTGCTATTTGATCGAACATCGATTCATCAAGACACTGATGAATGAGAGTGAGTGCTTTTTGATCACTCTTTTTATTTTTTCTCAATACCTCCTTTTCAGCAGGAGATAATCGAGAATCCTCTGCGGGAATCTCGTAACCTTTCTCAACAATATCCCAAGCATCTTGGGATCCCAGCAAGGCTTTCATACGAATGCACCAATTTTTGTAATTGGTTTTGGTAAGGTGGGGGAATTGAATGGGGAAAGTGGATTTTTCGGCCATGGGACAATCGTGATAACAAAAACACGAGAAATTCTTTTCTGATGTGGAAGTTCAGACTACGCTGCAACCACAGAGCATACTCAGAAATAACTCGGGCTCTGATACCACTTTGTTGGAAATAAATTTTATTTCCAACAGTTTCTTTCATGCATAATCTAACTGTTCTGTTCTGTTCTGTTCTGTTCTGAAGTTATCACCAAGAGTTTGAAGTTTGTTTGTTTTTGTTCTGCCTGTAGGTACTGAGTAAGTTCTGTGGGTATTTGGAGGACGAGCCATCTCCTTTCCAGAGATTGGAGTCCTTGATCTTGGATTCTGAGGCAGAGAGCGTACCTTACGAACTCATCAATTACTTTCTCAAAGAATCTTCTTGTGCAAGTCCAAATATTCAGTATATATCTACACCTGGCTAGTAATTGGCCAGTTCTGCAAAGTTTCTGACGATGGTTTGCAATGGGATAGTGGTTTTCTCTGTTAGGTTCTTAGCCAGTTTGCCTTGTTAACTAGCTCCTGTCTGAAGAAGGAATCAGCCTGTTGATCTATTAGATAATTACACAAGTTGTTCTTGCACCAACTGAATAATTGCAGTGGCTATATCTTTTAGGCTGTGAACTGGATTCTTTCTGAAGTAGGAACCAGTCTCTTGATCTATGAGATAAGTACGATCAGTATTTCCCCCCGGTTTTTTGTGTCTACATTATTCGTCTGCCTGCTTGGTCTCTTTGTTTGTAATGAACTTGTTTTCCGGGATTTGGACAAACTGGTGACTTGGGTCATAAGATAGGTCATCTTGTGAGAAGTTGGTTGTTGCTTACTTGGCTTTTGAGAAACTGGCATTACGAGTATGATGTGGTTATTGGTTCAATTGGTGGAATGCTGGTGCATATCTTGGTGGTTTTTAGGCCGATCGATGGATCCGTAGTGCAGGGCTTTTTCTACATTGTCTTTCTTTTCTAGCAAATGTTGTTGAAGGTCTGTTTCTACATTGTCTTTTCTAGCAAATGTTGTTTCACTCCAAATTTGGATGGGGAATTGCTACCGTGATTTTTTCTCCAAATAATCACTCTTTTGTATTATATAACAAAAAAACTTATAAAAAGTGAAAAAGTTTTGAATCACTCTCATTCTCAACTTCATCGATGATATTCTTGAGCCACAATCATCAGGAGTATGTATGAATCAGAATCATGAGTAGAGACTCCGACGAGATAATTGTTCGTTGAAAAAATTCAAACCAGTAACAAAAACAAATTTTCGAGTGAACAAACAAAAATGAGAATCTTTTATACCATGGGACAAACGAAATTTGCCTTCTTTTGTACCATGGGGCAAATGAATTTATGTTCTTTTATACCTTTGGCAAACCAAAATTGGCTTCTTTTGAGTGATTTTTGAAATTTTGTTTATCTCGATATTTTTCTATGCTTTTTGTTGATAAGATAATTTGTTGGTTTTTTGTTTATATAATCTAAAAGTAATATATTTGTATAATTATTTGTGGAATTGAAAGATTTTGCATACGAAGTTAAGATTAGATGTAGTATATGAATACGGCTGGTAAACGGTTATCTTGTTAGTGGCGTAATTGATAAACGAACTGAAAATGACGGTTAACAGTTACACCGATAACTGTTTACATAGTAAGCGGTCAGTTTCGGGCAGCCAAATTTGGCCAATGACTAAATGACTGTTAAATGTTTAGTAACGTATGGTTAAACGACTAATCGATTACAGTCGTTCTCATAGTTAGGGATGAAAATAATATGCCCCGATGAGCGGAAGATATAGGCTGAAAATAATGAGATGTTCAAAGGCCTATAAGTTCCCTTACCTAACCTGACTATCATAGTGACTTAGGTTCAAATAAAAATAATATCGGGCACTAGAACTGAATTACTAAAAGTCTTTCTAAAATTACCAAAGGTCAATATGTAAGTTACATATTTACCCTTAATTAAATTTCAAATTGGGAGCAAACCAAACAACCCTCAATTCTCACTCTCCTCCCTCCATCGTTTCTCAATCGCCAACGATTCCCGGTGAGACAACGTCGTCAGTTCCTATGGAAGGGCACCACCCACTTCTGTCCTCCGACTTTGCTGCAGTCCCAGCTGGATTTGCTCCAGATTGACCCTACAAAACATGTTTTAAGAGTCGATGCTTCCGTCCCTCCTCCCGCAATTGTGTCCACTGTTGAAATTATTATATTGTGCTTAGTTTGAGTAGCTTATTGTAATTCTCCTTATTACGTAAGTTACTAAGCTAAGCTGGTTAGGGTTACATGTGCGGTGTAACCTAACAGTATATATATCCTCCCTATGTATTATGTAAAACAAAGTTGAATAAGATTGACTCTGGAGAGTGCTACCTCTCCCGTGGACTAGTCATGATTCTCAGGGAAACCACATAAATACGGTGTTCGTGTTATTGTTATTGTTTCTTGACTTGTTATCATGGTATCAGAGCCGCCTGTCTAAGGCTTTCGGCTACTCTCTGGATTTCGGTTGCTCTTCGTCGTCCTCGGCTGCTTATTTGTTTGGCTCTCGTGTGGTTTCTAGGGTTTTCATTCGGCTGCTCGTGGGGTGAGTTCCCACTTGGTTATTCCTTGTCTCCTGGGTATTATTCCTTCTCGGCTGGCGCTGCTTGCTTTCTAGTTTGTCTCATCTACTCTTGGCTTGGTAATTCTTGGCTTGGATATTCTTGTCTACTGGGTATTATTCCCTCTCGGCTGAGCGCTACTCCTTCTCAGCTGCTTGCTTCCTGGTTTGTCTCATCTACTCTCGGCTGCTTGCTTTCCGTTTGTCTCGTCTCCTCCCGTTTATCTCAGTTGCATATTTTCTGGTTTGGATTGTGTATCTCGGCTGCCTCTTTTGTGTTACTGCTGGTCCTGTCTTCTTTCGTATCATAGATGCTATGAAATCCGATGCTGCTTTGATCTGGTTCGACGGAAAAAACTTCCCATTGTGAGAGTTTCAGTTCCGCACCTTTGTCCAAGGGAAGCGACTCCTCCCGCTTCTCATCGGTCGTAAACCTAAACCATCCGAGTCTGATGAGAAGGCTCTTCTTGATTGGGAGGTGGAGAACGCCCAGGTGATTCACTGGCTCCTTGTTGCGGTGGATGTACCCACCGGCCTGAGTTTGCGCCGCTTTGAATTAGCCAGTGATATGTGGAAGCATCTGGTGTCTATGAATTGTCAGGCAAGTGCATCCCGTCAATTTGAGCTGGAGTTAGCCCTCTCTGCCTTGGCTCAAAGAGATAAGGATGTTCGGGTCTATTACCAGGAGGTGACGCATCTTTGGACTGAATTTGATCTCTTAGATGCCTTTCTCTCTGCCACACCGGCGTCGGCGGAGACTGTTGCTGAACGGGCTCGTTCCCGCACGATGACCTTTCTCATGAAATGGCGGTGGGACTTTGACCTGTCCGAGCCTCCATTCTTTACCACAACATCACCGATCTTGATGTTATCCTGGCCGAACTCTACAGGGAAAAAACTCGGCTTAAGAGTAAGGCGCAGGTTGACTCTCAGTCTTTGGGCCAGGTTGATCATTGTGTTTGCTGCTTCATCGTATCAGCCACAGTTTACATCGGCTTCTGATGGTCAAGGCCCCCAAGCTGCTCGTATTTGTCATTATTGCCGTGAACCTGGTCACATCCAGCCCTTTTACAAAAAACGTAATTGGTGTAATTACTGCAAAAGGTCTGGTCACATTCTTAGTGATTGTCGCCAACGAGCTGCTCGTCGCCCACCTGGTTCTTCTCGACAGCCTGGTTCGCCGCCTCCAGCTCCCGCATTTGCTACCGCTGAGCGAGTAGTTCCACCTGCTGGTCCGGTTGCAGGCTCTTCTTCCTCTGCAGCTGGTGTGTCCAAGGCGGAACTCACTAAGTTACTTCATGAACCCTTCAGGAGGTGATGAGCTCTGATTTTGCTCCTGGAACCTCGTGAGGTAGTTCTTGGAGTTGGCTTCTTGACTCGGCTGCTTTCAATCACATGACCAGTTGTTTACAGTCTTTTAGATCTCTTAAACCTGTCACTCGGCAATCACAAGTTTCGAATGGGGTTGTTCTCCCGGTCACTGGGCTTGGTTTTATTTTTGATCACTCGGTACATCTATCGGACACCCTTCATGTCTCGCGGCTGGTTCCCAATCTTATCTATGTGGGCCTGCTTGCGGAGGCAGGGTGTGAGGTTCGATTTAATAACACATGTTGTCTGGTGCAGGATCAGATGACGGGGAGAGAGCTCGGACGGGTTCGTAAACAAGGTCGTGTCTATGTGATGGAGTCTCTCCAAGATTGTCGCCAGTCCGAGAGTGAGAGATCTGCTTTACGTTCGGCTGGTGCAGCTCGTGGGGAGTGTGATGTTGTTCATCGGTCTTTGCTTTCTAGTTTTTCTGTTTGTAATAATTCGGATGTAAGGGATTATGTTTGGGATTTATGGCACTGCCGTTTGGGGCACCCGAATTCAGCTCGTTTGCTACAGATGTTTCGTAATAAGCTGCTCCCAATAAAATTTCGCACTAGCTCCTTTTCTCCTCCACTTGCGTGAGTTGTATTGAGGCGAAGGCCTCACAGATTTCGTTTTCTCCTAGTACCTCCTCTTATACAACTCCCTTTGACCTTGTTCACATTGATCGGTGGGGTCCGGCTCCCACGCCATCGCGCATGGGGTTTCTGTATTTTTCTTTGTTCATTGATCATCACAGTCGGTTCACATGGATTTATTTCCTCAAGCATAAATCGAGCTCAGGTCTCATGCACAGGACTTTGTTCCGATGGTCCAGACTCAGCTTCATAAAATAGTTAAAATCATTCGGTCTGATCCTGGAGGAGATTCAGTTCGAATGAACTTCTGCAATTTTACAAATCTGCTAGTATCCTCTCTCAACAGTCTTGTCCAGGGGTCTCGCAGCAGAATGGAGTGGTGGAACGCAAGAATCATCATGTTGTGGAACTGACGCGAGCTCTCTTGTTTCAGTCGGGTGTTCCTGCTCACTTTTGGGTAGAGGCTGCTAACACTGTAGTTCATCTTATTAATCGGCAGGTCACTCCTGTTTTGGATGATCAGTCTCTGTTTTATAACTCCACTATCGTCATCCGCCCTACGATCGACTACGTGTCTTCGAGTGTCTATGTTTTGTCCTGCTACCTCACCGTGAACGCCATAAGATGGCTCCGAAGACGGTTAGGTGTGTCTTTGTAGGGTATAGTGACCGCTACAAAGACTATCTATGCTATGATCTCGTTGGTCGTCGGCTCCGCATTGCTTGCTATGTGTTGTTCATGGAGAATGTTCCCTATTATTTGCTCAAGACTGGTGAGGATCGTGTTGCCTTTGAGAATAGTTTGGTGTTTTTGTCTTCATTTCCGCCGACCCATTCCCCAGGGGGAATGACAGTGACAGTGAAGTATCTGGGTCTAGTTCTAGTTCAGGGAATGGATCCTCTTTGTCGGCCGCTAAGTCGTCTAGCTCTTCGTCGTCCGGGCCTAGTTCTCCTTCGTCATCAGCTCATTTGTCTTCATCGTCAGCTTCTTCTTCGTCATACACCGCCTCGGTGGATTCCTCTTCTACTTCTGCGCATGATGGCTTTCTCAGCAATATGGAGGAGGTTGACGCCGAGATGCAGCATGAGCCTCGTCGCTCCAATCGGACAACAAAAGGGAATCCTCCATTGAGGCTTCGGGACTACGTGGGTTTCTCTGTCGATCCTATTTTTGTACCAGCCAATTATCAACAAGCTTGTGGCATTCCGGAATGGGATGCAACAATGGTAGATGAAATTGATGCCTTGGAAGCTAATCAGACGTTGGATCTTGTTCGGCGCACTCCTGAGATGTCGATTGTTGGGAGTAAGTGGGTCTACAACGTAAAAATGAAGTCAGATGGTACTCTGGAGAGGAACAAGGCTCGTGTTGTTGCACAGGG